ATTAAAAAAAACAAACAAACAACTCACTGCCATCAAGTCAGATCTGACCCTTCCTTCTGAGGAGTGGTTGGTGGATTTGAACCACTCGCCTTCTAGTTAGCAGTCAAATGCCTTAGGCACTATGCCACCAGATCTCTCTGTTGCTATATTTGAGTCCATTATTTCAGCCATATCATTTATATCATGTACTAAATTCTTATGGTTTGTCTCTGGGTTTTCTGTCCTACTATTTTGCTAAGTCTGTATTTTTTGTGCCAGTCACTGAAGTTTTATAATACCTTTGATGTTCCTCTTACACATAAAATTAGCTTCACTGAGGTTGGCTCTTTCATAAGCAACTGACTCAATCTCCTATAGCCTGAATGGATGCAGAACACACATACAAGCACACACAGCACTGCCACCACTACCACCACTAGCACAATGATCTCCATTCTCACCTACACATAAGTGATTTAACTACTGGGAATTTGAGGTGAGCTCTGGTGGCATAGTGGCTAAGGCATTTGACTGCTAACCAGGAGGCTGGCAGTTCAAAACTACCGGCCACTCCTCAGAAGGAAGATTGGGCAATCTACTTCCTTAGAGATACCACCTTGGAAACCCAAGAAAGGGTCACTATGAGTCGATTGATTTGATGGCAGTGAGTTTCGGTTTTTTTGTTTTTGTTTTTAATGTGTCCCTCTAGTTCCCCACTACTACTGAGAATTGTGTTTCTAAAAACGTGGAGTGAAGATATTAGTAAAAGACTGGGATCCTAGTTTTTAGTTGACATTGACCCTGGGTCTCTGAACCAGGATCAAGGCAATAAGGCAGGGACAAATCATATTATTTCAGCTGAAAGGTTTGCTCTGTTTCAAGAGGTAAAGTATGTACTAGGAGTCAATTGTAATTCTCTGTTCTACTCCACAGATCTCTTTTTACATTCTGACAATAAATTCACCAACATTAACTTTAGCATTACAAACTTACACACACACACACACACACACACACTAAAAAGTTGGGAGAGGCTGCACCTGTGTGGGACCAATGTTGTTGTTGTTGTTATGTGCCGTCGAGTCAGACCCAACTCATAGCGACCCCTCCTTGGGTTTCTGAAGCAGTATCACTATGGAAGTAGATAGTCCAACCTTCCTTCCAAGGAGTGGCTGGTGGGTTTGAACCGCCAGCCTTCTGGTTAGCAGTCAAGTGCCTTAGGCACAATACTCCTTTAAAAAGAACAAAAAAAGCCATTGCCATCAAGTTGATTATGACTCATAGTGACTCTACAGGACAGAGTAGAAGTGCCTCATAGGGTTTCCTAGGCTGTAATATTTACAGAATCAGACTGCCACATCTTTCTCCCACGGAGCAGCTGTTGAGTTCAAACCACTGAACTATTGGTTAGCACCCAACTACTTCACCACTGTGCCACCAGGGCTCTAGGAGTCCTAGAAGTTACTTTTAATCAAAATGTCTACCAGGATTTAACAATTTTTTATCCTGTTTATTTACTTATTTATTTTTTAAATTAAGGCTACAACACAACCAAGACAAAGAGATTGAGAATATTTGAACATAACAAATATCTTTGAGAATTAATATAAATCTGGTCCTATATAACCAGTACTATTATTTTAGGGTTCCTGCAAGACAATGTAGAGGAAACTTTACTAAATCGCACTAGGTGAATCAATCAATTCTCTTATTGTTCTGTAGATATCATACAATTGCTCTCCGGTTCTGGCAAGAAAATCTATATTCCATCCCCCACACCTGCCACCATACTTCTGATGGTCAACTTCTCTGTTGAAAAGATTTGCTTCCTCTTCTTTCCAGTACCTCATGTACACGTCATTAACATCTGTTCCATGATATATGCCTTCCAGAAAAACGTTCCTAATTAACTCATCCTACTTGTGCTCAGTGCCCTCAAAAGGTATATGTTTAGCTGTGGGCACAGTAATCTGCCTTTGTTAATGTGGTCCTCGTAAAAGTCAAATTTATAAAATTTCAATGTGTATACCTGTTTTGACTGTGCATAAATGGAAGCTAACATAAAGCTGCACCTCCTTTCCCATAGACAAAAATATCTGTGCAGTGTTCTGCACACAATAGCAATGAACACTGCTCACCAACTAGATTACAGATTAGTATTTGGATCATTTAAGCAAAGATTACTGAGGAGGTTTTCTTTGGGATGCTAATTTATGGTAATGCAAGGAAAATCAAACAACTTTTATTTGTTGCTGTTAAGGGATTTTGCCCTTTAGCAATTCATTATAATCTGAACCTCATTGCCATCTGGGTATTTGTGACAATCAGGTGGGGATTCAGAACCTCCCTCCAACAGAAATATTGAAGTGAAGGAAATCTCAAACATGAATTAATTATCAGCAGGAAAAGACTGGAGGGCAAAATTATTATTCTTAAAGAAGAGGCAAAATGCATAAACAGATTGGACTTTAAAATTCTGTAATTTCATAGTTAAAGTACTAAAGAAGTGCTAATGGTATGAAATGGAAATGACAAAAAATAAAATAGGACACATAAATGGAAAAACATAAAATCTAGTATTAAGTAGAAGTGAAATGCAGACTACCGACTCCACTGGCTCAGCCAAGAGCATTACATTAGGGGATGACATTCCCCATTGTGCACCCAGGACTAATATCACTGACTGATCACAGTAGCACCTCTTCCCGTTTTTCCATGGGGGTGTGTATCTCAGAATCCTTCTTGGATATCCACCAACACAGATTTAGTTTGTCACATGGGGTAGTGTCGTTTCAGTAAAGATTCTCGTCCCTCTCCCTCCCGTTGCAGGCAGATCCTTACATCACTGATGCTGGATTGGTCACATGACTTGCTATAACCAATGGCATGTGAACAGATGCCTTCAATGTGTTTGTGCAATTTAGCTTGACTGCATGCTCTGGTCTACTATGAGAAGAGCATATGCCAGGTAGCCACTGCCCATTTAGCTTGGGCCTCATAACAAACACACATGGAATATACCTGAGGCCAACCTACAAGAGAACTGAGGAGTGTAAGAATGAATTCTTTTTGTAAACTACTGAGTTTTAGGGTGATTTGTAACAGTATAATTCTGTCAATAACTGACTAACACAGCATGTTACAGCCCTAAAAACCAGTAGCGTACAGGGAAATGACTAGGATATAATAGATGTATCTTAGTAAGGGACCTGCATAAAGAAGAAATAGCCATGTTCGAAGATTGAATCATAGAGTCTTAAAATTTTCAGATTTGGGACTTATCCATAAATAAACTTAAACCCCTCAGTTTACAGATTAGGACAATGCAGTTGAGAGAAATTAAATAGTTTGGCAGAATCAGACATCATTTGAAGTCTCTTGGTTATTCATAGTGTACTTTTTTTTTTTTTTTTTTCTTTTGTAGCAAAACAATCATGCATGCTTCTAGGAGGGCTGCAGGCCTGGCATTTGGAACCAGGGTGGACTGTGCTGCCATGTGGTAACCAGTCCCCCTACTGGCTGCTGGGCTCCCAGACTTCCCAGTGTAGGGTCACTGGTTTTGTCCATGGACAGCTCACCTATGGCAACTGAAGGAAGATCCAGCAACTAGTCTGAGGTTCAGGCCGTGGCTCAGAAACCTGTTGAAGCACAATTCCACCAGGCATAATGGACATCGAATAAGAAAACAAAGCTTCGACGTAAAAAGCAAAGCTTCAGCAAACAGCTCTAAACTGGAAAATGGTCTAGCTCACTGTTCTTCAGGAAAGAGCCAAGAAGTGGGAGATTTCAAATCTCAACTCTTCAGCTAAGGTTGACTGAACACTAGCAGAATAAGCAGCTGCCTCCAGAAGTCATTTCAGGGGCTTTAGGAAGACCACTTCCAGATCCAGATTAAAGTTCAAACTCATCATCCTCTTTGGCTCAGTGCTAGCACCAAGCAAAATCAGAGCTCCATGTTACTGAAATGTTGATCCACAAGTCTCTAGTACTTGCTTCTCAGCACCTATTACACTGCTTAGCACAGAAGAAGCCCTCAATATTTTTCAAATGAATGAATGGACAAGTACATAAATAAATGTTAAATACTTAAGTAACCATTGATCATAGACATTTATGTTGTAGTTTACTAGCTAACAAAAGAGATATAAATAAACAAAAACATAAATAGTAGTAAGGTCAAGTTTAAATTCTGATAACCTCTCATTCATTAATTCATTTAACAAATACTCATACTGAATGATGGCTATGTTCATGTACTGTGTGATTTGCTACACGTGGAAGCCGGTTCCAGTGGATGTCAAGTTGATTCTGACTCATGGAGACCCCTTTTGCATCAGAGTAAATCTTTGCTCCACAGGGTATTCAATGATGGTATTTTGGAAGTAGACCACCAGACCTCTGTTTTAAGGCACCTTTGGGTAGACTTGAACCTCCAACCTTTAGGTTAGCAGCTGTTTACACCATACAGGGACTTGATAGATAGAACGCCAAATAAACTAACGAAGTCTCTGCCTTCATGGAGCTTACAGTAGTTTAATGGGAGAAAGAGGTTGAACCCATTCACACACACACACACACACACACACACAAACATACATAAACATGCATATAGACACATAATAACTAAGGAATAGAAAAGGAGCCAGATGAGAGTGTGGGAGTAGATACACATTTTAGCTTAGAGTATCAGGGAATATCCCTAAAGGAAACGTTTCCAAAAGATGCCACTTGTCCTATGTGAACTGCAAAATAAACAAACATAGATCTCTTTTCTCACAGAACCCTGTGTCTAAAACACAGCCCCTGACTGAGTGAAGTGTGAGTGCGCACAGTGAACTGAGTACCCTGCCTTGGCAGCTCAGCTCAGGTACCCCTCTCAGCTTCTGGAGGTTCCCCAAACCATTATCTCCTACAAGCTGAAAACTGGCACACCCATAAAAATCACCACAATTAAACCTTTGCAAAGTCATCACATATTACACATACCACATTTTTATAATATGCCTAGGCATCCAACATACCAAGCAAATAATCGGTATATGAAGACAAAAGATCCACAGCTGCAAATTCCGGGATATTTGGTAATGCCACCTGGTTAACTTGATCAATTCTACAATTCTTCTTTCCAATAAGCAGATTAATTGCCAGCACAGCTTCACTGACCTACGATGGAGGCATAAACAATAATTCATAGATGTAAGCTTTCTGATTCATAAATCATGCATTAGGTAAATAATATGAAAAAGTTGAATTCATAAGACAATACTCAATATAAACTGGAAGAAAAAAATAAAGATAATATATGATTTGCCAACATGTTTTGTTTTATATATATATATATATATATATATATATCACAGTTAAACAAATCATTACTGTTGACAATTTAATTAATGCATAAGTCACTTTAAATAGGCTACTTCACCTAGCTATGACAGATATTTGTCAAAATGTCAAATATGTGCACATGTGTATCTGTCAATATTTTCATTTAAAAAAAAAGAAAAAAAAAAGCTGAAATAAACATAGGTCTGGCTAACAGAGATTAAAAACATCTCACATATAAAGTGCATTTCTAACCCTTCCAAAGAAACATCACTGGCACAAATCCCAAAGAACGTAAAATTTTCCTTTCTCTTGTATGAACACATTGTGTTGCCCTGACAGCTGGAAGGTGGAGAATACAAATATGACAGTAAAAAATAAGATTCAATACCAACCTGTGCAGCAGCTCTTATTGCAATCCAGGCCAGTGAACTGTACATTTCAAATGTACTTATTGCTGGCTCTTTAATAGAACTCTGTCTTCTGGAAAAAGACTAAACACATAGCAAACGGTTTATGTAATGACTAACAAAGACATCATAAGGATTTAAGATAAATTTTCTTATTTTCTGAAGATGGCATTTTAATGGAATATTACCAAGTCATTAAGAATAATAATGTAACTATTAATATGAAAAGAAGTTCAAAATATATTGTGGAAAAAAAAGTATAGGTTATAAAACAATATGCAAAATATCCTACTTCTTAAGAAAATTTATACACATATATTCCATGTAAAAATAAGCAGAAAAAATTAACTAGTTATTCCTAGATTTTAAGAGTGATTAAATTATTTTTATCTTTTTAAAAGATTTTCTACAATAAGCTTGCATTATTTGAGTAACAATTAAATACATAAAACTGGCATTTAAAAAAATATATCATTTTGGGGGCGGGGCAAGATGGCGGACTAGGCAGAAGGATTGCACAGACCCTCTTCAACAAAGAAAAGGGAAACCAATTAACACAGACACAGAAGATAAT